TATAAATTTACATTGTTTAAATGGGAGAATTCGCAACTTTACCACGTAATATAAAAAAACCTGGGCCATATTTTGAAAATCTGAAAAGAGTTGGCTTATCTAGAGACAATTGCCTGTCAATAGCCGCAAAAATCATGAAAATCGGCCCGGTAGAACGCTGGAACTAAGCGTTACCAGTTTCGCAAAATTAGGAGGTCTTGGAGCTTATAGTATAGAAGAGATAACAGCAGTATTAGTGAGATCCAGTGTCCCAGTGTCACAATTTATATGTATTTGATGCAATGTCTCATTGAAATTAGAGAAGAAAAATATTTTCTTCCATTTTCACCGAATAAATTAGACTTTCACTAAGAAATAAGCTGGCGAATCCTGTCGGCCTCCTGTGGTGTAGTGGTTGTAGCGCTGGCTCTATAATCAGGAGGTCCTGGGTTCGATTCCCGGCTAGGCGACCCAAGTTTGATGGTCTCAAACAACGGTTGCCTCGGGCTCGTACGCAGTAGGGACGGAGGGGGGATGGGCTCTATCTGGAAGCGCAAGGATTACCACTTGTGTGGTATTAAAAAAAAAAAAAAAAAAAAAAAAAAAAAAAAAAAAAAAAAAAAAAAAAAAAAAAAATTGTCAACGGTAAAGCTACTTTATTTCTTTCATAACTTCAAATCGGAAGAATTCTCAGGCATAAATGAAAGTATGTCTATCATTCCTCATTTAATCTTTGGTTGAAGTACTTCATGATGGTGATAGGAGAGACAATTTTGGTGGAAGTGGGACCGAAAAAAATCTGGATGCGAAGTTCTTAAAGAAATCTGACCAACTCCATCAGATGATGAACACTCCAACCTCCCAGCATTTTCCACGTTGACAATAACTACAAAAAACCCCAAAAAACTTTCAGATTCTAAGGAGTAAAGAATCCGGCCAAAGTCTTAAACTTGTTGAACCGAATTTTCTTATTACTCCTAAAAGAAAATTAAAAATTACCTATACTTTACTGAAAATCGAATGTGGGCCAATTCATAAACGAGCGATACAACATTCACTGCATGTGTGTATGTGGACCTCTTGTAGGAGCCCAAGCGGTTCGCTTTTTGCAACAAACGCTACATATTCGTGAATGGAAAGTCCTTGAAGGAGCACATAACGTCCTCTTTCTTTATTTAACTTATGCATTTTTTATTCAGAATCTTCATAAAATCAAAAAGAAAAGTATGGACTGATCTGAGCCTTATATGTGCTCTAAAACAATATGAAATATTTTATCGCACAAAGTCGAATATTTTTTCTTTAAAATTTAGAGCTACGTAACTAATTCAATAATCATGACTCGTGTATTTGCAGAAAAGTTTTCTCAGAGACTCAGTAAATT